ACCCGAGGAAATCTACAAGTTCGAAATTGTTATTATTCAATGCAGCTGTACAAGGTAAAAATGAAAGTTACATTAATTGGGTAAGTAGATTATGTATTTTACAAAATGAATGTTCGTTAAGCGATAGTAGAGTCATTGAAAAAGTAAAAATTTCATCAAATAGCAGAAGTATCAGGCAGAAAATTACGTTGAAAGAGAATATTACGTTAGCAGAAGTCTTTAGTTTAAGAGATGATTTTGAGGAGACAGAATTAAAAGAAAATATAATAGCTAAAGTTGAAAACATTTCTTTAAGTGAAAAGACTGAAGAAGAAACAAGCGTAAAACATTTGGAAAGACAAAGAGGCATAAAAGTTGAAGAAAACAAACAGGTGGTCAGATACGACGATAGACATAATCCACGATCGAATAACGATAACAGACAACGATGGACAGCAAGAGGCCATGACTTTCAAAGAAATATTTATAAGGAAATAGTTATAACCCCAGTTACCAAGGAAATAATTACAACCCTAGATATCAGAATTATAACGCGAATTATTACAACGTCAGAGCAAACTATCCAGGATCGTACAATAATTCTTCGATATTTGATAATAGAGCTAGTTATAATAAAAATGACTATAATAATAATAGATTTAATAATGATTATAATTACAGATATAACAGACATTATAACGATTCAAGATGTATTCAAAGATATAACGATAATCATAATATTGGAAATCGAGGAACTAATCAAGTATGCAATTGTAAATATCATAACAACGACAATAATCAATCACGATATACAAATAAAGTAAACACTGTAAATATAGAAGAGATAAAAGAAGATGATAATGACAAACTAGAAAGAAAAGAATATAATTTATACAATTTAGACATAAACAATATGGATACCGATAATAATTACACAGCTAACGATGCTTATAAGGTCACGGTATATTTGAACGACATGCCTATTTTGATGCAGATCGACACCGGGTCAAGGTATAGTATTCTACCGATTCATATCGCGAAAAAGATTGGAGTAAAAATCTTAAATAAATCAGATATAAAATTAACTGGTTATGATGGAAACAAAATAAATGTTTTAGGAACTACCAAAGTCAAGGCAAAATTCGAAGACAAAAGTCAAATCTTAACTGCTTATGTAGTCCAGAGTGATAAGATTGCACTGTTAGGAAGGACCTGGATAGCAGTCTTTAGAAATATATTAGATAGATTTGTAAACTTAGTCGAAGAAGATTATGACAATACTATTCAAGAACGGATCAAACAATGCGAGTCAAAACTTAGCAAGAAACAATACTACGCAATTATGTCAAACTACATCTAAAACAAGGTGCTACACCGAAAATCATACCTCCCAGGCGTGTACCTTATTCAAGAATTAACTTGGTTACAAAAGAACTACAGAAGTGGATAAGCGACAAAATAATCGAACCTGTTGAAGAGGTAAGATGGGCCAGTCCTCTCACTCCTGTTGTCAAGAGCGATGGTTCAATTCGGCTATGTGCTGACTTCAAGAATACTATTAATCCTGCGTTAGAGGATTTCAAGTACCCAATACCACGCATCAATGACCTTATGGCAAAGTTATCGAAAGGCAAGAAATTTACAAAGATCGACTTTAAAAATGCATTTCTTCAAGTTCCAATACACAAAGAATCAAGAGATTTTCTCACTATTTCAACTCATAAAGGCTATTTCAGGTTTACAAGACTTCCGTTTGGATTAAAAACTTCGTCAGCAATATTCCAACAAACTATGGACAATATTTTCGGGAACATGAAAGACGTCGTGTTTTATATTGATGACTTATTGATTACTGGGGAGGATGATGAAGCTCACGTGAACAACATAAAAATGGTATTTGACAAAATATCAAAGTATGGGCTTACACCAAACTTCACAAAGAGTATATTTTTGAAGAAAAAACTACGGTTTCTAGGTCACGATATAGACGACAATGGAATCCATCCGAACGCAGATAAAATAAAGGCTATTTCTAATATGCCGGAACCTAAGACAAAAGAAGAGTTGGCAACTTTTTTGGGCATGGCGAGCTATTATCGAAAATGTCTGTGCAATTTTGCTGACATCGCCGATCCCTTATACAAAATAGTAAATAAAGACAAGTGGTCATGGGATAGTTCACATCAAGAAAGCTTTGATTACCTAAAAAAACTCATAAGCACTCCGCCTACGTTAAATTTTTATAACCCGGATCTACCAGTGGGCATTGCAACTGATGCTTCAAAGAAAGGTTTAGGCGCAGTCTTATTTCATATTGAGGGTGATGGCAAAGAAAAACTCATCCCTTTCGCGTCAAGAGCACTATTGAAATCAGAGTTAAATTATACCAATATCGAAAGAGAAGCTTTGTCGGTAATTTACGCGGTTAAAAAATTCCAGGAGTATTTAATAGGCACAAGATTTGTAATAATTACCGACCACAAGCCACTCGTGTATATATTTACGAAGGGACTCAAGGACAATTCTTCCATATCAATGCGACTCCAAAAATGGAACTTGGCTATGGGAGCGCATGACTTTACGATAGTTCACAGACCCGGGAAACGAAATATTGTACCAGACTGTTTGTCCAGATTACCACTAATGAATACAGAAGAGATGGTACAAAAGTTAGATGACGAAATAATTGATGACAATTTTTGGGACACACCAATAAATTTTAAAAGAATAGTTAAAAAAACTAATATTGATCAAGAACTAATGGAAGTAATCAATGATATAAGGAATCATGAGCAGATAAAGAACAAAACGTATAAAAATAGGGTATTGGAATTGAGTTTAATCAAAGGTTGCCTTTTTAAAGAGAATAGTATCATAATACCGAAAGGTATGAGAAAAGAGATTTTGCAAGAGTTGCATAATGGGCATCTCGGTGCTGGAAAAACAAAATCATTAGCGAGAGAGTATCTGTGGTGGCCTGGTTTAAATGCAGAAATAGATCAGGAGGTAAAGAATTGCGATGCTTGCAATAAATACGCAGACAATCCTCATAATATTCAAAACCCATGGGAAACAGCAACGAAAGTATTCGAGCGCGTACACATAGACTTTGCAGAGTTCAAAGATAATAATTTTATGGTATGTGTTGACGCCTTCAGCAAATTTCCTATTATTAGGAGAATGAGAAACACAACTACGGAATCAACGATTAAAGAATTGATGAAAATAATAAGTTTATTTGGTATACCTAATAGAATAGTCAGTGATAATGGAACTAACTTTACCAGTAAATTATTTAAGAAATTTTGCGAAGATCACGAAATCGAACACTTACTCACCGCACCTCACCACCAACAGTCCAATGGCCAATGTGAGCGTATGATTAGATCAATGAAAATGAATATGAAAAGGAATATGGAAAATAATAATAAAATAGACGTAGACATAGCTCTAGAAAAGTTTCTTTTTAATTATCGTAATACACCCAACGCAACGACCAACAAAATACCAAGCGAAGTAATGTTCTCCAGAATGATTAGGACAAAATGGGAGTTGATAAAACCGAGGGATGAAAGAGATCATATACTAAATCGCAAGATATCAATAGATAGGGATATAGAAATAGGAGACAGCATATGGTATAAAACTTTTAAAGATAATAATTGGGAAAAAGGTACAATAATGCGCAAAAACGGAAATTTGTTGTATGATATAGATACTGGGAACAAAATTATAAAAAGACACTTGGACCAAATAAAAAAAAGATCAACTAATGTAGAACTTTCTTCTAATGGTGCAACAGTTTTTAAAGCGAATGTTAATAATAATGCATCACCTTATACATTGAATTTTAGAAGGGAAGGTGATGAACCAAGAAACCAAAATGTACAAGTGAATGATCAAAATCGCAACGTTCAAAGACCAGTTAGAAATAGTGTGTTGCCTAGAAAATTTGAAAATTTTATAATGAATTAAATTTGATAATAAATTTTTTTTTTCTCTTCCTTATATTAAAACAAAATTATTTTTTGTGTGTGGAGCTAAATAGATAAAACGTACAACATAAAAAAGATCAACGAAGGGGTTAACGAGCAAGAATGACAAACGACAAAATTATAGACAGAGGGCAAATAAAAAATAAAAAAAAAAGTGTGAAATGTTAAACAGTGACACTCATGTATTTTATTTATCTTAACTTTAAAAAATTGTTATGTTAAACAGTGACACTCATGTATTTTATCTTAATAAGAATTGTTTCTTTCTTTTTGTTATAAACAACTTTTATATTTTAAAAATCAATTTGTTTATAAACTAATATTAAATTTTATATTTTATAAATCAATTTACTTAATAAACTAAAGTTCAATTTTTTATTTTAACTTTAAAAAAAAAGATCAATTTATTATAAACTACATTAAATTAAATTGTCAATATATATAGGAAACTATTTTGAATTATGTGATCATTATATTTTTTAAATTTAAATATCAATAAATTGATGTAATATACGTTTATAACATTTGATTTCTGCCTTTGATTTCTGCAACCTTTTCAAAATAAATGCACTTAAAATGCATTATTTACGTTTTGTAACGCAGCGTTGAAATATTCAATTTGTGCGCACTATTAGGGGGCTCAAAAAAATTTTTGAATTATTTTGAAAAAATACCTTTATCTTAAGCTAATGTTATCGAAAATTACCTTCTCTTTTTAGCAGTAAAAAAAATCAAATTTTAGGGGACTCTTCAAGTTTTCGGGGAACTCCTGCCCCTGCGCTCCTTACTAATAACGCCTTTTCATTTTTCCCTATTTTAATGGACATTTAAAAGAACTAAGCGCCGCTATATTGTACACATATATAATAAAGTTAGGAGCTTAATATCGTTTAAAAATATTTTTTGAAAATAATATAATTGAGTTTCCAACATGTTTTAATTTCATAACTCACTTATCATATGGCGTAATGCTTAACCTGGGAAAAAATATTTACCTTTTTATGATTGACACTGTTCTTAAAAAGTTCAGCGTATTTCATGAAGTCATATGTATATTCAGTTTTTGACTTTTTATATTATACATATATTCGCGCTAAGAGAAAATCAACAGCTTTGTAGACGAAATGATTGTTCTTTTCAAGTAAACAAATAAACATTGTCATATAGCCACTAATCCTTAGATATCATTGCCACAACCTAATTCGTGCAGGCTCTCTATCATGACAAGTTATATATATGTTAAGAAATTTATACATACATCTATTAGGCTGTGATAAAAGTAGCAATAAGTATTTTTCCCCAAGTAGCTCATTTATATCTATAAAACCAATATCATATAAATGGGAAGTTCAAACACATATTTCAAATAATAGTCAATATTCAGCATTAAATGTAACATGGGATATTGAAAATGTTCAAAGTTTATAAATGATTTTATTATAAAAAAGAAATTAACTGTTTTTATTTTTATAGATATTACAACAATGATTATAGAAATATCAAATATTTATGGTGATCATTTATACCAACAAAAAGGAAATCGATGCAAGATTTTTGAATTTAATCCAAGCTTGTCAATAACAAATGTTAGTTTATATATAATTTTATAAAGCTTTTAATATATGACAAAGTTGTTAACATTACTAAATGTTATAATCAATTTCTGGCAAGAGCACTACACAGATTGACAAGGCTGATCCAAATCCCACTCAGGGTGTTGGATTTGAATAATTTATTTCTTGGGTTGGATCAGACCTAAATTTTATTGCACCTTTTTAATTTAATGTTACTATAAATATTTTGGAGCTGTGCCAATCTATATTGATTCAATCAAAGTTCCTATGAATAATACAAAATTAGTCTGATAACCAATAACTATCTAATATTTAAATTGATTTTTTATTTAAATCTATCTTTGAACTAATGTCATAAAAGAATGATTTTTCTATTCAAAATAACCAACTAACAAATTATTAAGTTTTTTTATATTTTTTAAAAGTTAATTATCTTATTAAAAAATATGGTGAAGCTAGAACAAGGTTAAACAAAATATTATTACATAAGCCTTGACGCCAATACATGTCCAAACCTTTCTGCCATCTGTGGGAAAATTATAGAAGCTTAGGTAATTATTCGTTGCTTTAAAAATGCTCAATCGAGTCATTTACCTATACTAGCTGAATATGAATGTGACTTTTGTTTGATATTTTTATTACCTTTTCTTGTTGCAGATAATCTAACAAAGAAATAATATCAAATTTATTAGCTCCTTCATCTTTTATAATGATTGGCTTAAACAGTACAAATAAATTAAATATGCAATCCTTTATTAATACATTATTATGAAGTGAATTAAGCCCATTTTTTCTCAAGGATACCAACAAACCTTGTACGTGGAACTTATCCTTTCAGATTTTGTAATAGCAGTAATGAGTATATAGAGAGATAAAGGTAAGAAGGTAACAAGTTAGAATACTGTTCTTTCCAAATACAATGGTCATAAATAAATTATTTATCTATTTTTTTTAGCATTAGCATATCTTATTCGTATGAATTGTTAGGTTTTGGGTGCTATAATTAATTGAGTGTTGAATTATTTGGTGTTATTCTATTTGGTAATGTAAGTATTGAATTTTGCCTAAAATATTGAGTTAGCCGTTTTTAAAAATCCGCTCAAGAAGCAATTCTGCATCACTACACTACATCCAACATCTATAATTTAACTACCATAACATAAGTCATTTAAATATATCATAATGATCTGCTATAATTAAAATTTTGCGAAATGTGCGAAACTTATAAATAATATCATCAACCATCTTAAAACTTCCCTTCTAAATTTTTTTTTTTTAAATTAGAAACAATAAATAAATAAAACATACTTCATCTCATTCACCTCCGTTTATTCAATCAAAATAATTTATTCATCATTTTTTTTATAATAACATGTTTATTTATTTATTTTTTATTATTTTTTAACATTTCATTTATCCAAATTATAATTCAATTAAATTTGTTTTTCTGATATTTTTTTTTTAGATTTGTGAATAATTAGAAAATATTATTAAAAAAAAAATAAATTCTTCCCATATGTTTCAACTCATTTATACGGGCTGCATTGATTTCGACTTTCGATCTCTTTTTCTTACAAACGAAAATAGGAAAAAAACACACATTCGTATGACAATTAGAGATATGCAAAAGTAAACTCGGCCCGTACCCAGGCCGGTTTTATTTTTTAAAAAAATATCGGGTTTGGACTGGGTCGGGCTTAATATTTTTTAAAAAATGGGCTTTGTTTTAATATATCGAAATTTATCAATTGATGAATTTTTAATATAAAATAAAAATATTTGATTTTATTTTTAGAAACTAGATGCCATATAACATATATCTTTTATTTTGAGTAATTATAAAAATTAATTTCTAGATTTAAATAAACACGTAAGAAAACATTTACATTCCATGAGTAGGACTGTGAATGCTTAGGTAAAATTTTTTATATATTATCTTTTATTTGTAGTGAGATCCATTTTCCTATGATATAAATAACTTATAAAAAATTAAATTTTTAGATATATTCAAAATAAAGAAATATATATTAATAGTTAAATTATCTTTTATCTCATAATAAATCGTTTAAATCTTTTAATATAATTATATTAAAGATATTAATAATTAAATTATAAATTCCAATAATATTAAATCCGCAAGTTGGCGAGTATTATTATATTATAAAAAAATATAATCATTTAAAAATGTTATATATCAGAATTTACTCCTAAAACATTAAAGATTCATTTTAATAAGCTGACTTATCATAATACGCATGGTGGAGGGCTTTGTATAATAATTAAAACAAAATCATGCTGGTAAAGTAAATATTATTTTGTGTCAAATGATATTCAATAATACCAAGTTACTATTTAAATAAAATAATTTAAATATTATTTATCTTGATTTATCTAAATATTATATTAAATGATTAATTTATATTTGTATAATTAGAATCTTATTTATATAAATATTTCACATGATGCCATTCATTCATTTACCTTTTTTTACCTCAATAACAATAGATTTTTTTCTAGTCGTCATATATCTTAATATATTCAATCAGAAATGGATAATCACGTAAGAAAATATTTATATTACATGGGTAGGTCCTTATGAATCTAGATACAGATGTGTAAAAATTAATCTTAGATACAGATACTAGTATTTTTTTCAAAATATCAAAATAAAATTAGAATAGTTTATAAAATATAGTTTTTACTATTTATTTGTGAAGAACATAACATATTCATTTAGTAAGAATGAATATTTACAATAATTAATAAAATATTTAATAATGACTTAATATATCAGGCATTTTAATATCAGTAATAGCTTATTCTTATAGATAGGGAAGGGAGACTAGTATTTTAATGGGAGTTGAAATATTAATTTGTAAAAGAGTATTTAAAATAGATTTATTATTTTATAAGATAATCAAAATTTTCAGATAATTTAGTATTAGACCTTTGCCATTTTGGCATACATAGCATTGTACCAAAACCAAATAACCTTTCAATTGAAGTTGATGAAGATATTACAGTATTATATTTATAAAAAAATGTTATTTGTATTATTGAACTCAGCAACACTTGTTTCACCAAAAAAAATATTTTCTTTATTAGATATTAAATCTATTGATGTAGTTTTGATTATATACTATGATACTACATTTAGGGCTTCTTTTATTAATATATTTTGAAAGTATTCTTTAATTCATATCTTAAAATATTGATGTGATATTCATATCAAAAAAGCCTCATTATATTCAAATTATTGGAAAATATTTTCTTAAATTTTGTCCATACCATCTTAAGAATGAATTTTTAAGAAAACCTATGCTCCTTATAGCCACATATTAATAATATATTTTAAATATGTAACAAAATTTATGTTTAAATGTTTATACAGATTTTATATCCAGCCTTTTTAACTTTTATTTAAAAAAAATTTCCATTTAAAATTTTAAGATTAGGATTTGATTCATGGGAACTTATTTCCATAACTTAAATTTCACAACCTTCTTCTTCACTACCATCCTGCAAATTAAAATATATTACATAAAATTGGTAATGATATTCTGTCGAGTTACATTTATACAGGGATCTAAACCGAAAAGGGTTCGGTTAAGGTTCGGATAAATATAAAGGTTCAGGTTCAATTAAAAATAATGCTTCAGATTCAGTTTTGATCCCTGCATTTATATATAAAATATAATCTTTACTAATTTCGTTTGGGTTATTTTATATCCATTTATCTTAATATAAGTTGAATTTTTCAGTTAATTTTGGTCTTCGATATATTTAAAATATGGCGGAAAAGAATATGGAAATTAATACAATATTCTTGAAGAAAATAAGATATATGCTGTGATATGTAAAATTTTAAATATGAATATTAAAAAGTATCTGTATCTTTTGCCAAGAAAATTAAAATGAAAAAGATGCAAGATTTTTTTTCAGAATAAAGGATCTTAGATACAGATATTAGTATCTTATTAAAAATGTCAAAAGGTACTACAAGATACAAAAGGATTTTGTATCTTGTATTTTAGATACAAATATTTGTGGTACTGCACAACTCTGATTACAATTGATATTATGATCAATGATTGAGCAGTATAAAACAAATAATTATAAAGTGTTAACAGTCTAATTTTGTTGACTTTTATCTTTAAATGATCAGAAAGAATAAATATATTTAATTTTATTTATTAATCTTATTTCAAAAAGGCAATGATGGAGAAGATAGATGTGAAGCCATGCTCTTCATTGCTTAGATTACAGAATAATTTTTCAGTTAATTCAGCAGTAAATGAATTGAGCCTTATCAGTTTACATTACAATTTATCAACAAAATGTAATGATAATTTTTTAGTTAGGGAGGAAGACCTTATTTCTCAAAGGTTGTTAAAATCATTTCAGGGGCATCTTTTAGAAGATTATTCGCCTAGAAAAGTTATTGGGGATGGCAATTGTTTTTATCGTTGCTTGTCACTAGCAATTTTTGGTCATGAGGAGGAACATCTCTACATGAGACTCTTGACAGCAATTGAAATAATAATTAATAGAAAGTATTATGATATAGATGATAAATTTTACAGTAGTAATAAAACAATAAGTGATGAAAGAATTTCCACTACTGATTACAATAATATTTTAAATAATGCATTGATGGTAGGAGGCTGGGCACAAATGATGCATCTTTATGCATCAAGTGTATGGGAAAAGCATTTCAATCTTATTGTCCACCTTCTAATCTTGGGATGTATAGCGCCTATACCACACCAGTATATGGGCGGGCCATAAGAATAACAAGTTCAATTAACTTAGTTTTTATGTGGTCGAGTTTAAATTACCCCAATAAATTGGCGAATTTTAAACCAAATCATTTCTATTACCTACAATCATTACCATCGAGTCCTCCACCAATTATTAGTCATTTGTCACCTAGAATTGATGTAGCACCATTTATATTTCCATTAGTTGAAAATAATTCCCAACATATTTTTCCACCTCCAATCGAATATCATTAATAGCTATTTACCAACTATTTTATCTGATGATGATTTACTATTCGATTCTCCAATTTCTGTTGACAATGATTCTCCACCTATCTCACCTTCAATCAAATCCCTGTCTAGTATGAGTCATTTATCACATACTTCATCATCAGCAGACAATAATCCTCCACATATTTTTCAACCTCTAATCAATTCCCCATCTAGTAATGCTTGTTTATCACCCGTTTTGATGCCAGCTATCCTTAATGATTCACCATTCATATTTCCATCTTCAGTTAACAATAATTTTCGAACTATTACTAATTTATCATCAATTGTTAGTAGCAGCTTACCTTTTCTAGACACCGATATTATTATGAATATGTTATTGAATTCCATAAATATTCTAGAATCAATACCAACCGGTATCAAAAACAATATTATATTTACAATAAGTAATAAAGAGAATATGATTTTGAAAGAAAGGGGTAAAAAATTAGTGTATAGCGATGATTGTGGCGCGTGGACTGGTACATCCACAGGTACAACAAAAAAATTATTATAGTATAAATATCAATGATAATACAATTAGCAGTGGTCCTTTGGTTATTAAGAATGGCTTATTTGGCAAGTCCACCACAAAACGATATAATCATATATTTATTGCAGCAAAACCATAACCAAATCCTCATGATTTGGTAATTTTAAATCGTTATTATACAAAATTGAAAAATTGTAAAACGTATAAAAGAAGAATATGCCATTTAGATAAATATTGAAGCTCAGTTCATCTTATTCAATCTATATTTATAGTTGAATACATAGGAACATATCCAGGGTTGTTTCCACATGGAAACAACAGAAACTACTCAGGGGTTTATAGTCGTACCCCAGTATGTATAATGCGACAAATTAAGGAAAAGGTAGTGCATCATCCTCCAAAAGACGTGTACCAAGATTTAATAGGAAATGAAGAAAATTATTTTACTCCCAGGGATATCAAAGAAATTCGTAATATACAATTTAACGAATTTCATAAAAATGATTCTTGTTATTTTAAAAATTTTTCTGACCAGATAAATGAATTACTAAAAAATATTCATAAATATCCAGTATTAAAAAAAATAGATATAAGCCCAGACAGAGTATGTTCGCTATTATTATATACTAGTTTAATGTTAGATAATATTAAATATATTTGTTCTCAAGATTTTACTAGTATTATAGGTGTTTATAAAACTTATAATTTAGGCCCCTGTTTGTGACGACAACATTTTCAAGAATCAAGGGCTCATGTCTAAATATTCACAGGATCCTATATTCTTTGGTCCTATATTTTTGCATGGCAGCTCTGATTATGAAACTTTTAACATTTTCTTTTCGCACTTGGAAGGCGTCTTCAAAAAAAATAAAATAAATGTTGAAAATCTTATATTCGGCAGCGATGAGGAGATAGGTTTAATAACTTCGTTAAGGAAGAATATTAGTAATTCTACACATATATTATGCACCTATCATATGAAAAAGAATCTAAACTTATTTTTACAGGATAAAGAGGGGATGGATTCAAGGACAAGGGAAGATATTGTAATTAAAATTTTTGGCAAAGAAGGACTTGTATTTACATTAAGCGATAAAATCTTTGGAGAAAAGGTTGAAAAACTGCCAGATTATTGTAGAGATAAACAGTTTATTAAATTATTGAAACATATAGATGCCAGTTTAAAAAATAATTTATTTTTATATGTATATTTACCTTTAAAAAATAAGGTGATATCGTGCGAATCTTTAAATAATGTGTTAAAAATAAAGTTTAACCGAGATTCTACAACACCTGTGCATATGATGGTCAATAAAATTTATGAATTAAGTTTAGCACAAGAAAAAGATTTTGAAAGAGCCCTTCTTGGTATGGGAAATTTTAACAAAAAAGTATGATGTGACAAAAATTCGTCATGAATGGGACCAGATAAGTGACGATCAACGTAAAAAAATAATATTAAATGTGCTTAAATCACATAGTACAAATAAATGGAAAAAAATTACCTCGACATGTGGTGGATTGACATTAATTCAACCTATAGGATCTAAAACCGTGTCAATCTAAAAGATCTAGATCAGATAGAACTAGAGCCTAGTTATTATAGTTCCTACATAAAAATTAACCAGTAGGCACTAATTTATTTCAGAATTAATTTATCTAAAGGCCCTTTTTAGGGCCATAACACCCAAAGGCCCTTATTAGAGCCATAAAACCCAAAGGCCCTTTTTAGGCCATAACACCCAAAGGCCCTTTTTAGGGCCACTCAACCAAAAGTTCGCTACAAAATCCAAAGACCCTTTTCATGGTCATTTAAACAATCAAATTATATTACTATAACGATTAACTTAACAAAACAAAATTTGTAGAAAAAGAAATACATGGACGCTTAACCCACCAACAATTCTCATTAGATATTCGCCGACGTTAAAACCCCAAGTTATTATATATCAGAATAGCAAATCAAAGTCTTTCGAAATCTACTGAAAATTCGAACAAATAACTTAAAACCAATATATCATTTTACAAATAAAATATAACGACATTTATAAAATTACCGGAATCCCTTATCTAAATTATATATTTCCCCTAAAAATGGTAAATCTTTATACATTATATACATTTTTATGCTAGGTGTAAAATAATCTTTTATAAACATTATTTTTCGATAAAATTTTTCTGTGATATCTTATTTATTAGAATGATATTATTGTATGGTAATATTGTAATTGTAATAATGGCAATAAAAACAAAGTGGCTATTTATAGAAAAGATTAATATCAAGTATGCAAAAATTATTTTAAAGAATTAATTTATCTTACTTTAACCATTAAAATGTGATCATATGTAATTTATAAAAACCTATATTTGTTCTTGCAATTTATCGAATGATAGATAATATATGGAATTTAGCTTACTTTTTAAGTAATAATACAATATTAGAATATAATAAAACAAAAAATAATTTAAAATTTTTTTATAAAATAATAAAACGCCATCTTGCGGATTTAATATTATTGAAATTTAAAATTTAATTATTAATATTTTTAGTATAATTATATTAAAAGATAATTTAACTATTAATGTATATTTCTTTTTGAATATCTATAAATTTAATTTGTTATAAGTTATTTATATCATAGGAAAATGGATCTCACTACAAATAAAAGATAATATATAAAATTTTTTACTAAGCATTCGTAGTTTACCTTAGCATTCGCAGTTTAGTCAAACCCATCTAAAAGTATATAAAATATTTTTATTGATAAATAACTTATTTATTTAATATATTTACATAATACAAATATATTTTCAAATTTGTAATTTTTTTTAATTAATACGCCATATTATTGGATTAAAAAATTTTATAATATTAGTCGATAATCGATATTTTAAAATAGATGAAATATTGGCCCAAAAAATATACATTCCTAGTATTTTAAGATTCGCTGAAAGAGGAAAAGGCTCTCATCAAAATTTGAAGGCCTCGGGATATATTTGAACTAGGACATTAAAATCTTCTTTTTTATAAAATATACAATCGATTTAACCTTCATGCCAAATTTCATCCATCTTAAATATGGGCGTCCGAAAATCACGTTATTCTGGTCGATTTGTCATGGAATTACTCTATAATGCGTTTTTAATATAAAATTTATATATAATAAATTAATTAAAAAAATATATAATCTTATCGAATATATTTTATTTTTTTTCTGTTTTATTTTAAAAAAAACAAATTTATAGAGAAAAACTTTCTTCTATGACTGCTTCTTTATGATAGTTCATACTTACCAGCCATTAGTTTACTGGGTTCAAGTGACTCTGCTACCCGTTAATATTTATAAAGGATTTTATTTAGTAATCCCCGAGGTCTTTAATATTGGTAATTACCCTATGAAAGATAATGTATTAAATATGTATTAATTAACAGATCCTATTAATAATCCTTTACGGTGGAAACCAACTTTAGCCTATAATCCATTCTATGATAATGTATATCTAAATATGTTCAATGACAATGATGATCGAAATTTAAATCAGAAACACGTTACTATTAACGAATTTTCCAAAAAATTGATTGAAGTTAAACTTCAATTTCCTAGTAGCAATTTATATAACCTTTACCCAAATTTGTTTCAAGAAATGGAGGTGATATTATGGATGATCAGGACGACGGATGACAATGATACAGATAATACCGATATTTTTAAGCAACACCATATAAATCTAAATGACATAAATTCTGGTTCAAAATTGGTTCCAAACATACTTCCAATTAGCCAAAAAAGGATTTTCAGGGTTTTTAACATTATAAACAATTTAATAACTGGCAATTAACTACACTAGCCTTTTATTTTATAAAGAGAGGTGGAATTAGTAAAACTAGTGTTGTTAAACAGCTCGATTTGAGCTGATTTTTTAAAAGCGACAAACTCAATATTTTACACCAAATATTTTTCAATCAAGCCTGAAGATGTTATTCATGGATAGCACAAAGGTTTTTGGACATTCTATTAGTATTTTTTTGGATAAAATATTGAGTTGGCCCTTTTTAAAAATCGGCTCAAGACTCCTCAAATAGAGCCGCGTAACGACACTAAGTATAATTAATAAATATTATTAATAATTTTTTTTGGCGAATAAACTATATTAGGTAAATATGTATCTATTTATTTATCAGAGACCTGCGGGCCCGGAACCTTGCCCGGAATTAAAAATCTGGGGGGCATGTCTATTTTTAAAAATTAAATTTAAAATTTTACCGATTAATCAGTTGAAAAAATGACAATAATGACTTGTTTATTATTTATTTATCACTAATATTTATGCAAAACACAGCCAAAGTTAGGCCGATTTCATAGTGGGGTCAGATCCCGCACGATTTAACAGCTGATCGATTTTTAAAATCTGTTTAAGAGACCAATTTTATCTTTAATTCTATTCATGAAAATAATCTAAGAAATTTTGATTAATAAAGAAAAATTGGACCAATGAATAGATTTTGAAAATCGAAGCTACTAAATCATGTCGGGTCGGTCTACTATGAATGCAACTTTTATAAAATATCAAAAATTTAAAGAAATCTGAGCCAGTCCATAAAATTTCCAAATAAATCCAGGGATTTGGAAATAATTTTTTTTGCCTAGTAATCATGACCGGATCTGACCAAAAATTTTGACATCTGCCTCTGTTTTTCATGTAAAATATTAAGCTTTACAACTCCTTTTTTTAAAAAATTTTTTTATTAACACATTATATGAATTATTAATTATTTATTGAATTCATTTTTTTTAAAAAAATACTAGGGTGACAATGACACCTTGTTTATTGAATTAGCCGATATATTCACCCAAACCTTTTACGATCGCTTGAACCATTTAGACCAATCTCTTGATTCGCACCAAATTCAACGGTTTTTTGCCACCTTCTTCTCCCCGCCTTTGGGCTCTTCGCTAGAAATACAAGGCCTTTTGGAAAGTATCCTACAACCAAACATTCTTTTTTTCCTTACCGCCAAACCTGTTTATAACAAGATCAAATGTTTGACTGAAAATTACACGAAAAATGGCTTAATCACATCCTGGCTCCATTTTTTACAATGCTATTCTAAATCCAACTCAACCGCACAAGATTTTGAAGCAACCATGTCTATGGGATTTAAAGCTACGCCCTATTTTTTACAATTCTTTGATAAGAAACATAGTTACAATATTAATCAAAGAATAGACGTAGCATTAGTTTCAAAACTGATATACTTCTCTTCCTCAATGAAACAGATCCAACTGGATATAGTTCGAATTAGAGTTATTGTTGGCTTTGGATTTCTGTCCATTATTTTGGTATCCCTATTTATCACGTTTAGATATATTCGTTCACGCAAATCACTTCATCACAAATGCTGGGGTTCCTTTTCACGTCGTTATCGAGCCCCACCTAAAGAAAACACGGATAAGTTACTGGGTATTTATTAAATATATAATTTTTATGGATATATTCGATTAAATAAATTGAAACATTTTATCTAGACTATTAATTATTTCGAATACAATCTTATCTTAAAAAAATATATGATTTAATAATTACTCAATAAAATATAGATAAGTTATCAGATAGTCCGTCGATTCTAATGATCTATTCGCGCGAATCCGGGAGGAATCATTGTTTGGCAGTTGAAACATTAGCCCGTATCATCGAAAAACTTTTCAATTGTAAAGTCATCCTTGACGTATGGGATTTAGAAGTAAAATATTTATTTGATTTGATCTTATAAGATGGGGGAAAAGTTGTTATAATTAAACTTAGGGCACTTCCCTATCAAAATAAATTTTTTTCTTCAATAAGGTAAAACAATTTTAAAACATGTATGCTTCATAAACAACCAGGGAGGCAAACGTATTCATAAATGTAGATTAATTATAAAAAAATTTAAAATTCACAGTTTAATTACCTTTCCTTATATCCATTTTTTATTTTATAAAAGCTTTCTTCCGCTTAAGTAATGATGTGACAATCATTATACAAAATATATAACATATTTTAAAATTTTTTTATTAAAAAATAATATTTTTTCCATTCAGTGGCGTAGCTAAGGAGTTTTCCTTAGAGGGGGTCCATACATATAGGTTTATCTTATAAATCATAACCATATCTTCGATAATATATAATAAATATATTTTTTAAATGCATCAATAATTTGTTTTATAATTTAGTAGATTATTCTCAATGTATACTATCCAGAATAATTTCGATAGTTATATAATATCCTTCCACAAACATCAAAACCAGAAAAATATAAATATTAATGGTATTTATTTGATATAAAGTCACCACTTATAAGTCTTTTGAACGTATAATCTAAAAATAAATTTTTGCTCTGGGAGGGCTCCAAACCCGACAACCACCACCCCCGTAGCTACACCACTGCTTCCATTAAACTATCAGTTAAATTGTCCTGTATGGCGTCACACTAAAATTCGATGATACGACAATTTGTTTAAAGTTAAAATATAAAACACTTTGTAACCAAAACTTTCAAATTTTTATTCCATAGTGAAGATTTCATGATGTAACAATTTTTAAAAATTTAACATAAAAATATATATGCACCTATTTTTAAAATACTGACCATAAACCATATCTAACTCTAACTTTTAGACCTATACTCTGCCCTAAACTACCTGCTCAAGAACGTTGAGTTGAGTGAGATAAATTGTCCCAAGCATGAGGTCTAATCTGTGTGGAATAACTTTTTGCGATATAGTCTACATCTTTAACTTTTGCTACACCTGCATTCAAAAAGTGATGGTTTATTTGTTAAAATAAGGATAATTCATGACGTTATCGAATATTTCATGAAAAAACAGGTAAAAGATAGTCTCACGTTGCAAACACTTATTCTTAAAATATTTAATCTTGGGGAATAGGAATTTGTTTTAAATTATAAAATTTATACATTCTATCTTAAATATATAAATACTACAAGTTAATTTAAATCATCAATGATCACGCGCTAAATTGTCTTAATACTGCCGTTTAGTGTTGCATATTAAGTAACGAAATAGGTTGTGTTATGGTGATTCTTACTTTAACTTAAATTATGGGTGCGATCGTGTGACTTAGATACCCGCGACATTTTTCAGATACAGCCCAACTCCTGATGGCAAATTTAAATTCCCTTCTCTCTACTGTTTCCCGACTTTTTATATAAACGGAGCTAAGAAATAAAGTCAAAATATTTTATTTGATTTTCTATTTTAGTGTTATTCGCTAATTTATAAAATATTTCAGGCAATAACTCTGATAATTTTGATGGTCTATTTTATTTCCCTTTTATTACAAACTACAAATAATGATATAAATATGAAATATTTTTCACCTTCAAATTTTTTAAAAATAATATCAAAAAGGGAACAATAGGAAGGAACTAAATTTTATTGATTCTTTTAGCACCCGACCTGCAGCTGAGCCCTGCCCTATCTGCAGGATTTAAGTGCCTAATATGGCGGTCTATTTAGTCCATAACTTTGACGGAACATGAAATATATTGCAAATAATTTATTTCAAACTCCAATAAGGATTTTTTTAGTTTTTCAAAGGATTGACATTCATTGCTCAAAATCATTTATTCACTTGTAGTTTGTCCAGAAATTGTTAATGGGAAACGAAACAATATTTTTCTAAAATATGTCAATTTTTGGATTTTTGCAAAATAATTAAGGAAAGATAGACTTAAGAGATCAACCTAATGAATTATATAAACTGTTGTTATCTGGTAATTGAAAAAGTTATTAACTTCCTTTTAATTATTTTTAAAATTATTCCAGCGGATTTCGGTCCTTTGAAGCGTTTCAAATTGTTAGACACTTAGCAATAAGATAATAAAATAAAGCTCTTCCACCTTATATATTTTGAAGCAATTTATAAATAGATGAAAATTTAGGTAATTTTCAAAATAATATATTTAAATCTTGAAAAAATTAAAGGTAGCATGTAATTGGTTAGAGAAAAATTTATTTTGGACTCAATTACGAATTACTTTTGAAAATGTGGCTTAACTATTGACTATTTTTAAAAATCGAACCACTACATGTTAGTTTACATTTTACTAGTTACAATTTTTTACGGGTCTGTTATTTGACGTTTTTGCGTTTAAAAATGATTTCCATTTAAAATTTATGAATTAAGCGCCAATTTTGCCTAAGACATATCGCTTATAGCTTATTCGTTTAAGGAGCGCTATAAGTGCCAACAAGCCCCAATAATTGCCTACAAGAACCAACGAAGAACAAGAAGAGCCAATAAGTGCCAATGAGGGTTGAGGTGATTTTCTTATAGAGACATTTCGCCTAAGGCTTTTTTCCCTAAGGATCACCAATGAGCGCCAACAAGCCCCAATGAGTGTCAACAAGTGCCAATGAGGGTTAGGATGCCTTTTGCCTATAGCTTTTTCCCCTAAGGATTGCCAATAAGCGCAAACAAGTTCCAATGAGTGCCAACAAGCATCAATGAGTGATAAATAATAAAGACAGATTTATTAATAATGAGTATTCAGCTATTTTAATTGGAACTTATGGGTGTTTTGGTAAACAATACAACAAATTTTTATCAAAATTGTTTTTACCTATTTCTTGCCCAATTTTTTTCCCTTCTTTAAGCTTATTACCATATTATCGATGTCACCCTAGTTTTTTATTTCTATCTTTTAACAGTAGCTCTCTATAGGTTTTAGAGGGTTTAAATGTGTCTCGTAAATTAGGGATGGGGCTAGCAAGGGCTACCACTTGAGTAATAAAGCAAGGTTCTGGAGGAGCGCAATAACCCTCGAATTCCTTTTCAATCTAAGATTCCTTGTCTTTTAAAAGTCCTTTTAACTCATTTTAGTTTACATTACCTTTACAAAATTATATAATTCGACTTTATTTGCAAGAGAATAATAATTTTTCTACATCATTTTTCTTTCTAAAAAAAAGAAAGTAGAGTTTTGTGGCCTTGTTGGCTGTAATAATATCAAAGTAATCTTTTGCTCCTTTTTGATGTTTTATAAAAAACTTACGATTTATTTTTTGGAAAATAACTTTCATAAAATTTTAACCAAATCTTATGTTAAATTTTTGAAATACTCTAGAAATATATTATGTAACATGTTTTTGTTTTTCGATTTAATAATCTCATTTTTTTAAACTTTCTTTTAAGTTCTGGAACATAGAGTTTAGGTAATTACATGTCAAATCGACCAAAATAACATGATTTTCGGATGATATTTTTTAAAATGGATGTAATTTGGCATGAAGGTTAAATAGATTTTATATTTTATACAAATCAAAATTTTAATGTTCTAGCTCAAATATATCTCGAGTTATGGACCTTCAAAGTTTGATGAGAGGTTTTTTCTCTTTTAACGAATCTCAAATTACTCAAAAAATATTTGGTCTTGACAAATTATATGTCATTTTGCAATCTTAAAATTCTCCTTGTGAAAATGTAAATTATTTTAAAATATCTTCAGTGTCCTTGTATTTTTTTGGCAAAACAAAAAAAAATTATTTTGAAAAGCGCTTCAAAAACTCATGAAATATGTTTATTACCAATATATTTAAGTAAAAATATTAATGGAGAATAAAAAAATTTAGTTTTTTATAAATAAATTAATTATAGAAGGCGCTATTTTTAAAGACATTATTAAAATTTTAAAATAAAAACATGCATTTTATATCATAAATAACCATTATTATTTCTAGGAAATATTATATATATATATATATATACTAGAAATTTTTTGAAAAAATACATTTTTGTCCCAATAAAAAGAAAGTATATTATAATCATACTTATCGATATCGTCCTCTATAATTGATTTTTTTTCCTATATAAAAACTAAATAAAATTTAAATTCTCATTTTTTCCGTTTTTTACTTAAATATATTGATAATAAACGTATTTGATGATAATTCTTTTATTTTATTCCTAAATTATAAAAAACAAAATAAAATTTATATTCATATTTTCTCCATTAATATTTTTACTTAAATATTAAAATATAATATTTTCTTAAGGGAAATTTTAAGGGCTACAAAATGATATATAATTTGTTACTTTAGACCAAAAATGACTTGAGATTCGTTAAAAGAGGAAACGGCTCTCATCTAACTTTTAAGGCCCATTCCATTACTTGGGGTATATTTGAGCTAGGGCATTAAAATTTAGATTTATATAAAATATACAACCTATTTAACACCAAGTTTCTTCCATTTTTGAAATTGCCATCCGAATCACTGGTCCATTTTCATGGAATTACCCCTTTAAGTGACACATGTTTTAAAATCATGCATGCATTCCAAGAATTATGATAAAATAAATAACACGTTAATTATATGCCTATTCGAAAACGAATCAAATATTCATTTCGAATCGAATAGTAAATTATTCATATTTGAATAAAACTAGTAATACATATATTCGACGAATAATTCGTTTTAGAATCGAATTATTTGGCTCAAAATATTCCGAATAATTTTTGAAGCCATGTCCTGGCTTACCTCAGCCGACTATACTGTTTCGACTAAAAAGTAAGGGTAATTTAAAGAAATAAGTATTAAAATTAAGTCTAATTAAGACCACACAGCCTATACATTTTTTTGAAATTTAAACATTTATATTGAATATTCTGACAGGTGATGTGATTATAAGGTATACCTCAATTACTGTGAAAGGCTTTTCTCAGTTTGTCAAATCACATGTCTT